GCACGGCCCCATGGAAAGGCAAGAAACTGATCAAGATCTCTGATCTTCTCCGCCGCAGAATGTAATATACGGGGTCTGTGAGACGTAGGAAGCACTACGGCAGAGAGCAGAGCGAGTAGTGCGTACTTTATCCTCATTCCTCTGTCAGTAACCGTCTTGTTTTTCAGCATTGAGACAACAGAATTCACGGGGACTTCCGGCCCCGTATTTAGGCCGAGACAACTCGTATTTCGATGAATTTCTGCCCATTAGCTCTTTTGTTTATCCTGCATATATCTCTTCGATTCAAGTACGAAAATTATAGGTCAACGTTTACCGAATTGCATTTAGTATCAAATCGTATTGTGATGTGTGTATTTATGTACATACTATAAGGCAAGTGGAGAAAGATTTTAAATGATCGTAGAGGAAATGGACAATATATCCAGCTGTAGCTTTTATCACGACCAAAAAATAGTCAGAAGGCGACCTACAATAGAGCGACTCTAAAAACAAAAAAATCAAACGCTTGCGATCATCGAAAGCTATATGAATCAGTTTTTTCAGGTACGGAAGAGGACTAGGATTCAGGTCGTTGACAAAACAGAACAGAAAAATAGTAATACCATTCCTTTTTTTTCTTTTGTAACTTATGTCAAATTTTAATGAGCAAAGTTGTGAACTTTTAATAGATAAAAGAAGTTCTGCGATCACGTCTTGTAAACATGGACTACATATATAAAAGGGATTAATCAATAATAGAAATTAACTACACTAGCTTATTTTTTTTCTTACAGTTACAATTAGTCTAAATAAAAGATAACTACGTGTTAATTTTTGTTAAATCTCTAATTATTTTGTAACTGAGCTTTTAAAAATAAATATGTTGAAATTAGTAATACTGTATACTCTGCGATTATATGCTCTAATGTTTTCGAACATGAAACCACCGGTAAATAAAAAATGAAATTTCGCTGGTTTTGTTCCTACAAAAAAATGAATATTCTTTGTAGTTCAGTCTTCTGGAATTTTGTGAGAAATGTATTTATCTACTACTACTCGTTGGTAAACAATCATATTCACATTTGTATTAAAAAAAATATTTTTTTTTATTAAATGGTCGTGGTCTGCTTATCTCTTTGGGTCAATGAAAGACTCAGTCAATCCTCTCAGCCTCCAATTCATACTCCTATACATCCACGCGCTTACGTACGGACGCGCCTCAAAAAGTTTTCCACAAAATTAAAAAGAGGAGCTATCAAATCAAAAATCAAACCTTGATTTGTATCGCTCTCATTCTCTTCATCATCATCTCCTCCTACCTTAATTTTTTTTTTTTCAAAATCTTATCATCCCTTCTTTTACTCCGACAGAAGCAAGCAATTTTTTTATTTTATTTTATTTTATTCTCTGAAGTGTTTCCAGCTCAAGTTTGGTAGTAAGCAGACATTTAAATCCTCCAATAATATTATACGAAGAACCGTCTTTTGATTATTATTTTCAACTAACAAAGAGAGATTATCTAAAGGCTTTGGTTTACTGATTAAACCGGAGGAGATCATCACAATCCATCTACAAAGGTTCGTTTGATTCTCACTTCCTTGTATCAAACAGTTGAATATGCTCTTCTGCCCATGAACTCAAAATTGAAACTTTACAATCATTTTGGTAACTACACTAGATGTTTTGTTCTTGCCTAGCTTTCATCTGATTAGGTCTGAGATTCGAATTTTTGATCTAAAATTGTATGAATTTTCATTTGAAATTTGCAGTTGAAAAACGAAGCAAAACCCCCCAAAAAAAAGCAGTCTTTGTTTTGACTTCACATTAATTTGGAGAAGCTGATGAGGTCAAGAGATGATGCAGATGATAGATCAGATGCTGCTTCTTCAAGAAGCCAAGAAGAAACAACCAGTCTCAAGGAGAAGCACTCTACAAACGGCTCTCAAAGATCTGGTAAAAGCCAAGACCTTTCTGAGCCTAACTACGCTTTAGAGAACACAACCACCAACAACAACCCTATTGAGTATACAGAACAAGAACGTGCTGAGCTTCTTAGAAGGTTAGATTCCATCAAAGACCACCTTCTCCGTGGTGGTGGTGGTGGTGGTGGGGGTGGTAGTGTAGTTAATGAGAATCAGCAATTCCTCAGACCAGTCCATGCTCCTAACCCTTATTACCACCATCCTTATCCAGAGCCTTCTCCTTACCCTGCACCAGTTCATGGAATGTATCCACAAGGTTATCATCAGGACCCTTATAGAAGACCACCTCCAGTTCCAAATCCAAACTGGCATTACCCTAACCAGATGACTCGTCCTTATCCTGGAGGAGGAGGTCAATATGTTGATGATATTGTTGACCCACATTCATATTTTCCAGCTACACCGAGTAGATACAGTGATATCCCTCCTTATAGCCCTGTTTCTTCTCACCACAGACTCAACAGTCCACCTCTTAACAACTACTACTATAACAACAGTCCAAGTTTTCCTTCTTCCATGAACTCTTCAGATCCTCGTGGCGGCAGTGGTGGTGGTGGTGGTGGTTACGCTAGGTGGCCTAGTGATCTTGATTCTGAGATGGGTGCTTTCCCTCGTGGGTATGTTAAGAAAGCTGTTTCTGATAGCGGTGACGCACGGCGTTGTCATCCTCTTGGTGGTGGTGCTCCTTTTATAGCTTGTCATAGTTGCTTTGAGTTGTTGTATTTGCCTAAGAAGAAGCTTTTGGGACAGGAGAGGTTGCATAAGCTGCAATGTGGGGCTTGCTCTGAAGTTATTAGTTTCAGGATCGTCGATAAAAAACTCGTTTTCTCTTCTGGTAATGAGGGAACAACGGACACTGTCTCTGTAGAAATTGAAGATGAAAGCAAAAACACAGTTGTGGTAGAGTATGAAGAAGAACCTGTACAAGAACTAAAGAATCAAGGGGACACTAGGAGAAGCATCCTGTCTGAATCTCAGCACTCTGATGATGAAGAAAGATCGAGCGTTTCTAGTGAACAACAACAGAAGGAGGTTAAATCTGTTCGTAGACGAGCTAAAGGCTCAAAAGCTACAGAACAAGCTGCCTCCGAGAGTGCAAGTCTCCTTGAACTCTTTGAATACTCTAATGTAAACCGAGCTGCACTCGCTTACGGGATGGCAGAGTTAGGTTATCACAAGCCTGAGAAGCAAGAGTTTTTCATGAAACAAGACTCGGTAAAGCCGGAATCATTAGCAGCTACAGAGACGGAGGTTTCTTACAACGGATACTCTAACACGGAGATATCTGAAGATTCAAGGAACTCAAACGGAAGAGAAGACAGTAACAACAACAGACCAAGAAGCAGAAAAGGTAGCGAGTCTGGTTCCACGGAGGTGACAGCGAGGTCCTCTACTGATGGAAACGAAGATCAAGGAAAGTTATTAGAAGTTTGGGTTAATGGACATCTAATACCTGAAGAGCTAGTGAGCATTGCTGAGAAGTTAGCTGGACCAGTCCAAGCTGGGAAGTATTGGTAATGCCATGAACTATAAACCTTCACTATATCTCTCTCTTGCACTCTTTTGGTTTCTAATGTATTGGTCTATGATTCAGGTATGACTACAGAGCTGGGTTCTGGGGTGTAATGGGCAAACCGTGTCTCGGTATAATACCTGTAAGTCCCTTCATATTCTTCTCTCAAATTGGTTATTGAAACAGGAATCATAAGATTGATGAGTTACATGTTGTTGTTGGTGCAGCCATTTATTGAGGAGTTTAGCCATCCAATGCCGGATAACTGCGCTGCAGGGAACACAGAAGTGTATGTGAATGGAAGAGAGCTTCACAAGAGAGACTTGGAGTTACTAGTGGGTCGTGGTCTTCCTCGAGACAAGAACCGTTCTTACATCCTTGATATATCAGGAAGAATCCTTGATGGAGATTCAGGGGAAGAGCTTAAAAGTCTTGGCAAATTAGCCCCAACGTAAGCAAAATTACACTTAAGACACACATACAGTCTTTTAAGTTAGAAGTTTTGGAGATGACAACATAGTAAAATTATGAAATTTTGTGAAACAGGGTTGATAAGGTGAAGCATGGATTTGGTATGAGAGTTCCAAGATCATTAGCTTCATGAAAGCTCTCACGCAAGTAATACACAACCAAATGGTTCTGATTCTGCCCCTCTTATCTTCATCTTATTGATTTGTTTTTCTAAATGTAAAGTGTGCTTCTTACTCATGACATTGGTTTAGGTTATTTTCTTTTACTTATACGAACCGGGTTATGTTGGTATAAGGTTTGTAATATTTCTTCTTCTTTCTTTTTCATGTTCCAAGCAGACCAAACCGTTTTGTGATTCTTGGTCGATGTTGGTTATAGATTGTGTGTAGTGAAATAGTTTGTTTGCCTACGGAACTTTTATATGTTTTTAATTAATAGCAAAAAGGCGGGAAAACAACCATTTCATACCCAATCTATCGCGATATGTTCAATTTATACCCAATTTATATGGTCGTGCTAAAACATACCTTAACTTATATGATCAAGCCAAAACATACATAACTTATATTTTGTTTTGGCAAAATCATACACCAATAGCTGCCACATCATCTATTTTTCGTTCGCGTGGATATTATGTCAGCTAATTTTGCTGACGAGGATGCTATGTGTACAATTTTTTTTAATAAAAAAAACTAAATAATCATTAACAAAAATAACTTTTTAGAAAATGTAAAATTTTATTATTTAGTTAAATTAACAAAAATTAATTAATTAATTAAATTTTAATATTATATAAGAGACATATTCGTATATGTTTTGATCCTATCACAAATCGTCTTTATAAAAGTTATATATGTGTTGTAATTATTAAATTCAATGCTAATGTTGCAGAACGTGTTACTCTTGATTAATCATGGTTGTGTTAATCTATGTAAATAACAGTTTCATGATTAATAAAGCGTAACAAAACCAGAATAATAATATTGAATTTGAATCATTACAACACAGATAACTCTAATAAGGACGGTTTGTGATAGGATCGAAACATTTACCAATATATCTCTTACATAAGATTAAAATTTAATTAATTAATTTACTTTTGTTAATATTACTAAATAATAAAATTTTCTAAAATTCTTACATTTTCTAAGAAATTTTTTTTTCTTAAATAACTATTTATTTCAAAACAAAAAAATGTACACATAACATCTTTGTTATCAAAATTAGTTGACGTAGCATCCACGTGGATAAATATAGATGATGTGGCAGTTGATGTGGTGATTAATGTATGATTTCGTCTAAAAATTATAAATCGGATTTGTTTTGACAGGATCATGTAAGTTCAGATATGTTTTGACACAACTATATAAGTTGGGTATAAATTGAACATATCACAATAGGTTGGGTAAGAAATGGTCGTTTTCCTGCGGAACGACCTGTAACTACATTTACATGTACTGTCTTTTATGTGTCAAATAGACTTTTTAACAACGCAAATTTTTGACTTTTTTTTAGATGACAACACAAGCTTATACAATATGAATGAATATTCTGGTCTGAACCACTATTAAAGACAGCAAAATGTTGTACGAGCTAACTTACAACCAGAGATGGAAGAAACCAGAAGCAAGGGAAAACCACACAGAACTTGCCCAATAACATAAGAATTACAGAGGAGAATCAAACTCATATCCATCTATCTGTAACATTTTATAGTGTTTGGTTAATGATAGAATCTTTACACTTCCTAGGCTTACGTCTTAGTTTTGCACGTTTTCTGAAATAGCTGTTAATACGTGACAACAGATTACTCCATGGGCCCAATGTCGATATCAAACAAGATAGAGAAACTGATCTGAGGGGCCTCATGGTCCGTTCATTTATTTTCCATGTCCTACAGAAACAGAGAAAGAACAAATGATACCAAACTTGTGAAGAGCATGAGAAAAACAGGAGAGAAATCAACTGAGCTGCTGTCCACAAAGTATCAAATATCACAATACAAAAATCGAAATTATAGTTAAAAAAAAAAAAATCTCTACATTTATTTAAACAGATTGCAGTTTTCTTTCGTACAAAGGTTTTCAAACTGAGGAGATAAAAAAAAAAACAAATTTCATATCTCATTCTTAATTACAAAATATAAAACGGTCTAGTTGGCTTGGGAATTGGGAATAGGCTAGTCTCCCAACTTCCCTAGCCCAACCTTCCCAACCACCTCGGAGTATTCAGTCAAACTAAACAAATAATTACGGAGACAGTCTCACAATTTTCACATACACAGATACAAAAACTCATTAAACCCCAAAATAGCAGAATGAGTGTTGGTTGCAAAGTTCCAACTTCCAAGCTTCATGATAAGGTTGATATTGATGGAACGAAGTGCAGTGGAGATAAAACCAAATATGAGATAAGAGGCGTGAGGACCAAAAACAATGCATGTCCTCCTTCTCATTACAAACAAAAAATATCTTTACTTATTCTTGAAATCTGAATAAATAAACAAAAGGACAATTGGACCACTCAGAATCTGAAAAAATATTATTTATATAACGATCGAATAATCGAATCTCTTCTAGGTTCTAAGAGCATCTCCAATGTATTACTCCATTTTCTACTCTAAAATGGAGTAACTTCAAAATGCAGTTGAGTTTTACTCCAATGTATTACTCCATTTTCTACTCCAAAATAATATTTTTAATATTATATTTATTTCAAAATTAGGAATATCACCTTTCATTTATACTATTTACAAAACAGTCCATTTTAAATTTATAGCATT